CTCAGCGCTCCGCCTCCCGATGCGCTCCACACGTCCCTTGGGTATGGACACCGAGCATGCCCGCCATCCATCACCTCAAAGCCCTAGCGTGCCGCGCTATAAAGCCCGTGGCCGCCACTCCTCTTCCCCATCAGCCGCCGCCACTCTCTTCTTCCACCCGCAGCCACCGCACCTTGCCACCTCACTTTGTCACCTCACGCCCTCTAGTGGAGGTGCTTTGCTCGATGCTCGTGGTCACGTGGAGCATCACCGCGCTAGGCACCGTGCGTCGCCGGCCTTCTTCCTCGCCACGCGGGCACACTAGAGCAGCCACGACCGCCGTCCCTGCTCCTTGCCAACGCAGCCGAGTCACACCACCACCATGACGTCGTGGCGCACCTCACCACCGCGATGTCCTCCTCTGCAACTACCACGAGCCCCTACTGACCACCCCACCTGCCTCCACGCCTCGCCTCGTCCAAGCGTCTCCACCGCCGTGCCACCACCATCGAGGCCACGACGTTGTCACCCACATTGTCGGAGTTCCTCCTCGCTAAGCTTCATTTGAGCCCCGCACGCGTCTGCCTCCCGGTTCATGAGCACTTCACCGAGCCAAACAGCACCGCACTTGCTCCTGCTTCACCATCGGCCACAACCTTCTTCGAGCCGAGCCGCATCCACCTCGTCGAGCTCTGACGCCTTGCTGCTCTCCAAGAAGGACACCACCACCGCCTTCATTGTACCTCGTCGGCGACCTGTCCTCCTCTGCCACTGGTGAGCTCTGTACCCCCAAAGCCCCATCTTTTCCTTGAAATCGGTCGTTGTACCTGCTGTCCCTCATCGTTCCCTGCTGTGAGCTTAAGATCCCACCCTTGCAGCCCTCCTTGTCACCGCCGGCGTCTCCAGCAATAGCCTCAGCAAGCACCTGCAGGAAGCCCATGACAGCAAGCCGCAGCTAGCCTAGAGCCATGTTTGGCCAGCCGTAGCCCCCTTTGGCCAGCCGCAGCAAGCCACCGGCCAGCCACAGCAAGCAGCAGCCAGCCGAGAGTGGCAGCAGCAAGCCCATAGCTCACCCGTGCCCATCCTCGTCTTCACAGCAAGGTTGAACTCCTCCAACCTTTGCCGACGTCGTACCCGACGTCGACAAAAAACATATTTTTATCATCATCTATACTTGTTTATACATCCCATTCATACTTGTTCATACATCTCATTCATACTTGATCATACATCTTCATATCTTCGTTCATACTTATCAAACATGATCTATCTATCTATCTATGCCTATGTCATGCCTTCGTGCCGGTCTATGTCTTATGCTACGGTCTCTACCTCTTGTGCTATGGAAATGTGCTACTCCGGTTGTTGTTTGTGTTGTTGGTTCTTTGTGTGTGTTGTGTTGCTGTCTGTGGACCGAGCCTTTGAGCTAGTCGAGGGATCATACCTCGTTCGAACGTTTTGATCATGGATTCGTCCCGCCGTGGTCGTGATGCCGAGCGTAACACGACCCCTCATTTTTAGTTGATTTTGTAGTGCCGTGATCGTTGGCCCCTCCTATGGCCCTAGGATGTGGCCACCATGGGCTCGACATTGGTGCGCTTCCTACCCACACATGATGAGTCCATCATGGCCTAGTCTATAGGGGACGAACTAGGGGACGACCATCGTGGAACTTACGGAAGCCAACTCGTGTGGGTAAAGCTCATGACCGCGAGTTATCTTATGATCGTCGGGCTCTACCCCTTTTGCTCTCTTGTTCTGTTTTGATCTCCTTTACTCTCTTGTTCTTCCTAACCACCTCGTATGCTTGTACCACATTGACCATAGCGTTCCTTCGGATCTAACGGTGACAATCGCATCGCTACGGACCTTAGGGATAACCTTGTGCTGATTTAGTTGCACGGTCATGGTGCCCTATGAGTGGGTTTGGATCGTGGGACCGTGTCTCCTTCCTTTCAACCTTCATTCGTTCCATGACGAGTTGGTCGAAAGAGTGTGGATTCCATTCTTCTCTCCTCTCTTGTTCTCAATCCTCGTTGATCCAGTAAGATGTGGATTGAGCCCTTCGCTTGTTTGGTCTTTATTGCTCTCTTGATTCCATTTCTTCGATTCCCGTCGTTGCTATGGCGAGTGGATCAAGGAAGCTGGATCCCGTGTTCCCCTCTTTTGGTTCTGTCATGCCTAAGCCCTTGTATGCTTGTACCTATTCAGACCGTAGCATTTCTTTGGTTCTTGCAGTGACAACCGCACCGCTAAGAACCCAAGGGATGTCTTGGTTCATTTAGTGCACCTAGGTCGTGGTACCCTACAAGTAGTTTGGGCACTTGTGTTCTCTTGTGTGTCGCTCCTTTCAATGCCCCGTCTCTGCCATGGCGTGTAGATTGGAAGAAGTAGACCACCTCCCTTCTCTTCTCTCCCCTGTTCCACCCTCTCTTGGTTCTCGTCAATTATAATAGCATATGGATTGAGAGAGACCGGAACTGCTTCCTTTCCCCCTTAGCCACTCTTTTTGATTCCCGTTGATCTCCATGATGCCCGGATCGGAAGACCGTGAGCCATGGCTTTTGCTTAAGATGAGCTAGGGTCTATGCCATTTTTATTGAAGCCGCACACGATCGACCCGGGAAGTACTGGCTAGGCTAAGACTTAAGCTTGCGCTTAGCAAACAGTCACTTCTGTTTCTTTTGACCCATGGATCAAACATCCGCCGAGAGGGCTAAGTCGTTTTCCCTTTGGTGTTCCTTCAGTGTAGTTGTTCTTCCCGTGCTTTATTGCATCTTTACTCGTAGTCTTTCTTGGTTACTGGTTGATTGCTCCTTGCTTTGTTTGTCGTACGAACAAGGCAGTTGCACCGGGAAATGACGTTGATCGGACCGAAACCCCGTTGGAGGAAGGACATGTGAACGACAACAGGACTTGGAGGGGAACGACTACGAGTACACTAAGGATCTCGGAGATATGATCAGTCAACAGGTGCCACGTCCCACCCAACCTTGTAGAATCCTATTAGGCATGCAATAATATAGCTGCTAGTACTTTATTTTATGCAATTGAACTGTGATAGGTTGCATGGTAGATTTGCCTGAAAGCCTTTACCTTGACACGACCTTTACCCCTGCACACCCGCTGATAGGCTAGATGCTCGCTTACTACTTACTACTGCTTCTACTATGCATTATATATGTGATGTGATGCTTGGTGGAGGATTGTTTGTGAGTGGCTAAGGCACATGGTGCCGCTAAAACTGGTGATAACTTGGGGAGATCTTGGCGTGTCTTGGGTGTGTCGTGAGGGTTGAGTTGATCGGACAGGATCCTACGACGAGTCTTTGGACAAGTCTTGCCAGGGGGATGTGACATGGGCATTCCCTACGACAGGTACCTATGGCGGGTACATGTGTGAGGAGTGTATTCCGAGGAGGTTACTCTTCGGGATGAAGGTGCCATCGAGGCACGGGGTGCTGGTTATCCCCTTTGAGAAGATGTCCTGTCTGGTCCCCCCTAAGGACCGGTATGTCGAGAGAATCGGATCATAGGACCCTACGTGCACACCACTCGTTCCTGAATGGGTGGGGGACGGATGTTGACCAGCTAGGACGGTGCCACTACTATTAGGTTGATAGCAGATAGTGTAGGGAGGTACGAGCATGTGACCCACACCCTCCTAAGACAGCGTAGTGACCTCTAGCAGCCTGGTACTACGTCTCATAGTCTCAGCATGCTGGTGGACTCCGAGGTGGGCCAGGGTTGAGTGGTAGGGTCGCATCGCACCGATTGGAAGGTAACCCGATATCAGCCTAGGCGGGGCACCGCCGATGATGGCGATCTTGTGGTTCTAGGTGTACAAGCTCTGTAGAGTTGATCAATCTATACGTATAGCCGAGTCCTCGGATATGGACATTCCTATGACCTACGCTTCCCTTGATTAGTGAGAGGTGTCCTTTCTTTTTCTCCCCCTGGGTTTGGTGTTGGTTTTCGGCTTTGGCCGTTGAGGCAAGGTACGAGAGGAAGTCGTCCTTGTCGCCTAGAGAGTGAGAGTGTGGTGAGATGTGTGTGATGGGATGGGTGAACGTGTGATGAGATGGGTTAAAACTTGATGAACTATTATAAAATATTGATGAACTTGCATAGGAAAACTACAGCCATAAATAGGCCTTTTGTTTTACCCTTGCATTCCACTTATCACAAAGCATAGGGGGGGAGCCAGTGGCCAGTACAAATCGTACTGAAAGATTTTTGGCAGGTTCGGGTGTCTTCCATGACAATAACGGAGATTAGAAGGAATAGGTGGTCTCGTTCTTGCGCTCAAGTTGGTTGAGGAGATGAAGTCTACGCCCACTGACATTCTATGTCGACTTTAATGATTGCCCGTGAAGGAGGAGCCTTCACCTGTCGACGCGCTACGTCTACTTTGATGTTGTTCTGCGTGTGTTTCCGCTAGTATGCGTTGTACATAAATGTGTCACCAAGTGTTGTATTACCTTATAAACTTGTAATTTTGCGATGTATGAACTATGGTATCAACTGAATAATGATAATGTGATAGTTTGGTCTTCCTGTACTCTCACATTATGATGTAATATATGGATTTCCCTTCGAGAAAATCTTGGATCGTTTCACTTACCCTTCGCAGGTACCTAGGATCATGTAAAGATTCTATTAATGTTACAAAACAACACATGAATCTTAATATTGTCCTCTTTTTTCTTCCTGCTTGGTTTGGTTGCAATTCGAGAACCTGGGATGAAGCCATACCTTAGAACTTGTTTAGCTACACTCCAATCCACCTTAATTCATATGGATTGAGATTTAAGAGTGATTGAGGTGGATTGATATACAACCAAACAATGCCCGGCCCTGTTCGTTTCGCTGAAAAGCTAAGCTAAAAAGTATTGTTCGTTGATTTATTGTGAGACAAAAACACTGATAAATTCGCAACCCCGATTGCGCATGTCTCAAACAATCAGCAGAGAATCCTGCCACTTGTCAGCACCTGGTCCACCCAAAATCTGTTCTGAAATTTCAAGCCTTGTACAACTTTGTATCGACAAGTTTCAGTCCCCAGCTCACATCCTCGCAGTTCCTGACGTGGGGCACCATTTTCCCTGTATCGGCTCCACGCTTCAGCTTGCAGTCGTAGGCGTGCGGCGCGTGGAAGCACGGTTCCATGGACATGTCCCAGAAGCACGGCGGGTCCGGCGGCGACGTGACGTTCGTGGGCTTGTGCAACACCCACGGCGTCATGCCTCCGAGCCCCTGCGCCACGTACCCGAACGTGGACCAGCCGCTGGTCACCAGCACGTCGCACAGGCTCAGCAGGTACATCTCCGCCCAGGCCCTTTCGTCGTGGGACTTCTTGCCGTACTCCTGGTTCCCCTCGTGGCTCGGCTGGTGCACGCTCACGTCCTCGCCGGTCGCCGTCGCGTGATCCCAGTACATTCCCTTGATACGCTCGTAGTACCACGACTGGAGAGAGGTGACCAGAACGGCTGTGGTTCTGGCGCCGCCGCCCGGCATCGGCATGGAGTGCTCTTCCGTGTCAAGAACCTCCGGGAGCAGCTTCTCCCTCCACAGGCATGACGTGATCTGCCGGAGGACGATCGGCGACTGCTGCGCCCAGGAATCGAAGTGGCGCAGCTGGACGCCGAGCCGGAGCTCCGCCCGCGCGAGTACGCGCGGTAGTACCGCGTGACGAGGCCCCAGACGTGGTTGGGTGGGTGGAACAGGTACCGCGCCAGGTGGTGGAACACGGCGTCGCGCTCCGGGAACAGCATGTCGAGCTCCTCCTGGAACGCCGTGACCAGGAACAGCCCCGTCACGGTGTACATGTCGGTCCTCATGACCAGCCACTGCACGTTCGACAGCAGCCGCTGGTCGTCGTCGCAGAAGAACATCTTGTCCTCGTCGCCGTAGTCGTGGTCGAGGTGGAGGTATACGAACGCCGGCAGCTGCGTCGCCGTCGTCGGCACGTCGGCGCTGAGCACCTTGTTCTTCAGCATGTTGCCGTAGCTCTCGGCGGTGTCGATGCTGAAGTTGGTGTAGCTCGCCAGGGAAAGTCCCGCCGCGGGAGCAGCCACGTCGTGCCGGGGAACGGCTCGCAGAAGAGCTCGTCCATCTCGTTGCTCGGGTCCACGAGGAGGGCGCGGTCCGTGAGCACCGCGTAGAGGAACGCCGACGCGGCGGCCAGGATGCGGTTGCCGAGGCCGCGGTGCGAGATGGAGACCACGTACTTGCACTCGGGCGAGTCGACGCTCTTGCCGGCCCTCAGCTGCTGGACGGCGCGGCTGTACGCGTCGGTGTTCGGCCCGCACCGTCTCTGCAGCTCTTCGTGTCTCCGCAGCTTTGCTATGAGGTGCGGAGAAGGTCGCCGTGCCGGTTTCCGGTTGTACATGGAAGACTCGTACCTGCTGCGGCATGATCTCTCGTCGAGTCCATCAGGCAGGAGGCCACCGAGAAGTTTGTCAGGTGGACTTCTTGCGTACGGGAAGGAGCCATCGCCGGAACCTGCACGGAGCAGACGGAGTTTATCAGGTTTGACTTCATAGTTCAGATTGATGACTCCTACATTTCCAGATAGGCAGATATTGGAAGTCCTACCAAAGGGAGGGCTGAAAGACGCTGCCAACAGAGAAGGATGTAAAGGAATTGCAGATGAGAGTTCAGCGAAGAAAAGTAAGATGCTCAGATTTTAGTTCAGATTACCCAATCGGACAGGTCACAGAAAATGCAGAACTGCTGCGAATATTCAGCGCTATGCTTCTAAGCACTGGCATTGTGATCTGCTGAAGCTTGTGTGTAGCACCCAAATCCATATGTAGCTACCACGAGAAATAAACAGCAACATGGAAGTATGGAACTCACCTCGCCGCAGCTGGGCCTTGGCGGCCGCGATCCAGACCGTTGGCGCGATGCCGCCCCAAGCGTAGACAACGATGACCGGCGGCACGGCCATGACGAAGGCGATAAGCATGACGTTGACCACCGTGTTCCAGCGCTTCTCGTCCAGGGCCAGCCTCTTCTTCCGCGGCACTGGTGAGTGCTCTGGAGCGCCTTCGGCCTCAGGCCAGCTGCCGTTGCGTGCCATCGCCATTGCCGGGATCTCCTGCGCCGCCGCGCTCTCGACGCCGCCCCAGACGACCTTGGCCTTGCGTTGCTGCATTTTCTGTCTCCTGTCTCTCTGCTAGCTCGAGATGCAACGCGAATCCACAGGCTAGGAGGAGTTGAAAACTATGGCGCGGTGTGCGTTAGATTGGACACTGCTATTTTGGAGCGGGAGACTACAGTAGTTGCACTATTTCTTTTAGTCGATCGATACGCATTGGATTTGCGACTAATCGTAGGCTACACTCCAGCTGGGTGCTGCACTGCGCTACTGCCGCTATCAACAGGGGACAGGGTTAATTACTGAAGAAGAGCATCTCCACTGTTCGTAGATCGTCATATTGTCATAAACTAACCAGTTGACTAGCACGACCAGTAGTTATTTAAGTACTGCCCGGTTCGAGTAGCCCAGCTGATGGGCATCTCGAGGTGTCCTTTCTGACCTATGGAGATTGGCCATTGTGGAAAGCTTGGTAAACGAACTGAAACTTAAAACATTTTTTACAGCACAGCATTGTTGGGCAAGGTCTTTTTTTTGTGTGGGGGTGAAGAGAAGTTTGCCCCGGACCTCTTAACTCTGAACAGATCTCACCGACACTCCACAGAGTGCATAGTCTGTAAAGTAATATGCTGATCTCTCTGTACGTGTGGCAGGAGCAGATGTCAAAAGGACTCTCCTGCTGCTACACTATAGCCGCGGCAGAGGCAGGTGCCGAAAGGCTCCTCCGCGCGCACTGTAGCCATAGCAGGGACAGGCGTCAAAGTTAGGCATGCTGTCACATCTAGTCACTGTAGCAGCATGACAGCTTGGCATGTCTATGTATTAGAATTAGATGGGTAGAGTTATATATATAGTTTTTCACTGTAACTCAGTGAAGAGAACGAGTTCAGTTTTGCTATCTCCTCTGCAGAGTTTCGACCAACGCTGATACTTGTACTGTATGTACGCGTACTGTTCTTCCTCTATCTTCTGCCTCTAGAAGTAGTTTGTATGCGAGAACGCCGGTGAACGGTCGGAGTGCCGGGAGATCTCGGGCCCAACATAGTCCAGGCTGCTATAAACTGCTTGGTTAAGCTAACACAAGGAGGTAAACACACCAGGACAAAGTGGCCTCCCGTTCACAGCCTATGCTTGCAGTCTCAAAAGAAGCCCATGCTTTTGTGACCTTGGCATATGGATATGGGCCACATTTTAAAAGCCCAACCTTCATGTACACAGGCCCAATATGGTGGTCATGGCTGGGCTCCCCGAGTACCCGAAACTCCGTAAGCCCACTGCTTCCGGGCGCACCGTGCCCGCCTCCGGCCGCCACCGCCGTCCTCACACATCTCCTGCTCCGTAGTCCGTACCACTCACTCAAGGGCGTCTCTGCATTAGGGATTTGGGAACAGATCTCACACATCTGCGTCTCATCCCTCAATGGCTCCGTGCGTTGCCTTTAATCTTTCTGATTTCTCTGTTCTCTCGACACATTTTCCTAGCTTAATAGATGGAATTACGAGTGTCCTGTATCATATCATGCTATAGACTCTCAAAAATCACAAGTGAACTGCAAGAGGGTTTTAGTCTTGGACTCACGGAAGGTTACCACGACATGCCAACGAAATTGGGCAATTGAGCGATGATCAGACTTCAGACAGTAAACATGTTTCTCTTCTTTTTGAAATCAGAGAATGAACAGATTAATGGATCTGTTTATCAACTATCTACACTTGGATCAAATACAGGAGGGAAAGAATACATTTTGTATGGTTCCTTTTGCCAAAAAAAAAAAAGAATTATGCCCTAGTTAGCGAGCAAGTCTGTCGTGAGTCCTGACAAAATTACGGCTACAGATGAGTTTGATTTACAATCTTCAGCCCCCAGCTCACGTCTTCGCAGTGCCTCACGTAAGGCACTACCTTGCCCAAATCAGCGTCCTTCTTCGCCTTGCAGTCGTAGGAGGGAGCTTGATGGAAGCACGGCTCAATGGACATGGCACGGCCGCACGGTGGGTCTGGTATCACGTGGTTCTCCGACCTAAACATGATCCATGGCTTCAGGCCGGCGAGCCCCTGAGCAGCGTACCCAAACGTGGAAAAGCCACTGGTGATCAGTACGTCGCTCATGCTCAGTAGATAGATCTCAGCAAGTGCCTTCATGTTGTGCTTCTTGTTCCTTGACCTCTGGTACTCCTCGTGGCTCGGCTGGAACACTTTGACAGTTATGCCATCAACAGCTGGTTGCTCATCGTACTTCTTCTGAATCTGATCACTGTACCAAGGGCTCAAAGAAGTCGTTAGAACAGCAATCGTTCGGTTATTCTGAGTCCCAGCTGCTGTTTGGTTATTCTGAGTCTCAGCTGCTGCTCCCTCTGCCATACTAACTTCTGGAAGCAGCTTTTCATTTTGAGCACATGAGAGGATCTGATTCAAAATGTGTGGGAACGGACCATTTCTTTGTAAGATACCTTTGGTTTCATATATTCTGATCTGAATTCTACTCTTTTTTCAGCTTTGGCCAGGTAGGACCGGAAGTATTTTGTAACGAATACCAAACATTATTTGTCGGATGAAAAAGATAGCGTGCCAAGTGATGGAAAACAGTGTCTTTCTCAGGAAATAGCCTGCTGAGTTCATCTTGGAAAGCTGGAATGAGAAATAGGGATGGCACAAAGTACATGTCTGTTCTCATGATCAACCATGAAAACCCTTGCAGGAACTGTTGGTCGTCTTCACAGAAGAAAAGTTTGTCATGGAAACCATAGATGCCATCAAGGTGGAGATACACATAGGGAGGTCTATTACCAGCCAAAGATCGATCTGTATTTTCACCGAAAACTTTATTCTGCAGCATGTTGCCATAGCTCTCAGGACTACTCTGACTGAACTCGTCATTGTTCAGAGGGAAATCTGAAGGAACCAACCACGATGTTCCAGGAAAGGGTTCACAGAAAAGGTCTGCAATCTCCTTATAACGGTCCACGAGCAAAATCCGGTTTGTAAGTAGCGCATAAAGGAACGCTGAAGTGATCTCAAGCATCCGGTTCCCTAAGCCAGCATGAATAATCAGGAACAGATAGTTGCAATCTGTCACATTGACGCTTTGACCGGACTTCAGCTGCTTTGAGGCTTCCTTATATGCTTTGGTGCCTGGACCACACTTTTTCTGCAAAGCTTCTTGTTTCCTTAACCTCTCTATGAGGTATGGAGAAGGTATGCTTGGTGAATTGTGATAGCGTGCAAACTGATACCTGCTTCTACATGATTTCTCATCAAAACCCTCAACCAGAAGGCCACCCAGAAGTCGGTCGTATGCTATTTGTGGCGACGGAGATAGATCATCGGACATATCATCTTGTATATCTGAAGAATATAAAGAGTTTTGGGTCAGTCAACTGCACATTGTAGTTCACTATCATGGAAGAACATGGTGTTGGCACATGGGTGCTGCCAATGCCAGAGAAGAAGTGGAGCACTACAACAACAAGTAGTCAATATGATATAGAAAAACACGGTGCTAGGAAGGACTAACAGAAAGAGTGGCTATTCAATGAATATAACCATGAAGCATGCAACAATGGAAGATGAGTGGCTATAACCATGAAGCATGCAACAATGGACACATCTCCATGGATTAAATGTGCACATCTACTGTTTTCAACGGCTGGTAGGTTGTTTCTTCTTTTCGCAATTAAAATTGCTTGCAAGTTGAAAGAAATTATGCATCCCACTTGCACTTGGAGTCGTTCATCATAAACCTGCCCTTTCTGCAATTCAAGGGACTAGCCGACTAGGAGAAGGAAAGGACCCAGTCCTTTGCTGTTCCCTCGTGCTGGGAGCAGTATTGCACACTGTAAAACCATTGGCTGGATATGCACCCACCTATCGCATGGTCTTGTTTGTATCACCAAGTGTGCCAGTTTCTCTATGCCATCCACCCTTGAGATACAAACAAATCTCTCAAAACTAATTTTTTTTTTACTTAAGTTTTTTCTTAGAATACACAACGTGCGAAGTGTGAACCTTTTCTTTGACTGGAGTACACTACTACACAAACTTTACTGGAGGCGGGCGTTTGCGGTTTTCCGCGGCGGGCAAAGCCGTCCGCCGCAGCCTAGAGGCCACGGTAAATCGTGGCTTAACCGCGGCGGGCGGCCTTGCCCGCCGCGGTAAATACTTTTACCACGGCGGGCACGTTAGGATGCCCGCTGCGGTTAATCATTTAAAAAAAACAAAAAAAAACCGAGAGCTCATGGCGCGAGCCCGCTCTCGAGCCCCACTGGCGAGCCCACCGGCGACGGATCCGGGCTTCCACACCCGCAGATCCGCGCCGCTTCGGAGGAGAAGAGGAGCAGCCGGCCGGGCCCCAACGTCTCGGGAGAAGCCGGCCGGACACGCCGACGCCACCACCTCGCCCGATCGCTTCGCGAGGGGACCAGCGACGCCTCGCGGATCCCGTGCCTCCTCGCGGATCCCGCCCAGGCAGGAGGGAGGTCGCCAGCGCCGCGCTCCTCTCACCCGCCCGTGGTGGAGGTCCCAGCGTCATGGCCGTGGTGGATCCCGGCGTCGTGGCCGTGGTGGAGATCCACCGCCGGATCCGGTCGCTCCACCGCCAGATCCACGGAGGAGGAGGGTGCAGCCGCCAGATCCATGGGGGAGGAGGTCGCCGCCGCCGGATCCGTGGAGGAAGAGGTCGTCGTCGCCGGATCTGGAGAGAGGAAGAGGGAGGAGTGAGGGAGATGGAGAGGAAGAGGGAGATGAACTCACTGGATTTGAAACCCTAGCCCCGCGCCGTCGTCGTTCATGGAGGATCCATGGGGAGGAGGAGAAGCGCAGCTGTCGCCGTCATCCCAGCGCTGCTGCACGTCATCCCAGCAGCAAGCGCCGTCATGCACAGCGCCCTCGATCCGCCGTCTGGAGGCCTCGCGGCCCTGGAGGAGAGGCTCACGCCATCGACGAGGGAGAGTAGAGGGAGGCGAGGGAGATTGGGGAGGCGGAGAGCCGAGAGAGAGAGTGGGTGGGCGGGAGCCGACAGAGAGAGAGGGGGGAGGCGGCGACGATGGTGCGAGGATGTGGGTGATGTGTTTGATGAATCGATTTACCATGGCGGACATTTTAGAATGCCCGCCACGGTAAATCGATTTACCGTGGCGACGCCTTAAGATGTCCGCCCATGAAAATAGGGAGAGTACTGCGTGGCGGACATTTTAGGATGCCGCCACGGTAATCGATTTCCGTGGCGGACGCCTTAAGATGTCCGCCATGAAAATAGGGTATTTTCCGTGGCGGACATCTTAAGACGTCCGCCACGGTAAATCGATTTACCGTGGCGGGCAAAAATGCCCGCCGTGTTAAATAAAAAATGCCCGCCTAGGTAAATCGTGGCATTTACCGTGACGGGCAAAAATAGGTGCCTGCCTCGGTGGCCTCCGGGGGGGTGTCGCGCAAAATCATTTGTGTAGTAGTGGTAACAAAGCAGTAAACTTGATTCTAGCTGAACAGCTACAGTTCTTCGCATAGCTAAATCATTTCAACATTCGTGTGAAGATGCTATTTACTGTCTATGGACAAGAAAATTATACTTTAACTTAAAATGTATGTGGTAATGATATTCAGGTGGGAATAGTTTATCCCCCGGTGATATTTAAAAAAAATGACTCACACTCCATACAGAGACAACTATGTATGATGAGGACCACATACTGGCTTTTAAACTTCTTGTTTAACCGTTTGTCTTATTCAATTTTTATGTGCAAATAATAAAATAAATAAGTCATTATTAAAGTATCTATAATGATAGAATAAGTCATAACAAAATAAATAATATTTACACAAAAAGTTTGAATAAGACGAACGATCAAAAGAAGTCTAGAAGTAAAAAAAATGTCACCTAATTTGGAACGGAGAGAGTATAGTGAACTTTTAGGGCAGCATGAGTTTATTAAGATCGTCTAGCTCAAACGGTTAGGTGACCCAGCGGCACTCCTCAGGTCCTGGGTTTGACTCCCCGTGGGAGCGGATTTCAGGCTGAGGTTAAAAAAAATCCCCTTGCTCGTCCCCATGTGCCAAAGCGCAGTGAAAGGCCCCGGCCCAGTTCTCACAGGGTGACGGCACCTCCTGCGTCGGGATGGGGGCGGGGGTTCGGGGGTTTTCTCGATCTGTGTGAGAAGATCCTTCATCGGAAAACCCGGGGCCGTCATAACCCCCGCAGGTCGAGTTTTTTTAATGAATAAATTCCCTTCCTATCTCTTTGAGGACAGTATCCCTAAAGTTCCACTATTTTTTTTGAAAAAAAAAAGAGTTACTCTTGCTATTCAGAACAGTTGTATATATATAAATTAAAAAGGAAAAACGTTAAACATGCTGAAGAATCTATTAAGAATCACACGACACAAACAGTCCTCCTGAAAAGGGACGTAGATTCTCCAAAGTCTGTAAATCCTCCTGCTCCCTACAGAGGTACCGTAAGGATTGCACATTCAAAGAGACCCATGGGAGGCATGCGAAAGCTGAACAAGCACTGCCAGCGCGTTGGGTAACGAGTTTGGGCGGATTCTTCGAGGGTTGGCTTTTGGTGGTTAGTCGCTTCTAAAATTTATGTCACAGGAGCATTAAATATAGATTAATTACAAAACTAATTACATAGATGGATGCTAATTTGCGAGACGATTTTTAAGCCTAATTAATATGTCATTAGCACATGTTTACTGTAGTACCACGTTATCAAATCATGGCCTAATTAGGCTTAAAAGATTCGTCTCGTAAATTAGTCGTAAGTTGTGTAATTAATTTCGTAATTAGTCTATATTTAATACTTCATGTATGTGTCTAAATATTCGATGTGATAAAAATTCTATGACTAGCTATGCTTCCCGCCTACCAAGGCCCCAGTCTCTGCTCATCGTCATCCCCGTGGACATGGGCTCTGCTTTCCCTAGGCGCGTGCGTGCAAGTGCAACCGAGCATCGCTGTCGGTTTTGGCCTTTTGGGGACAGCAAGAGAGCAAGGCAGAATCAGTCAAACGAGTCAGGCCATCGCCCATCGCTCATCCTTCGCTGAGAAAGCCGAAATACGGTTCCAGCTGATTTATCGTGTGAGAAAAATGTTGTGTGAAAAAACACTGTTCCGATTAAAAAACAAGCTAAAAAGATAGATCAGAAGAGAAACGAAAAGGGGCAACCGGACTAGAATAGCCGTTTCCAGCTTGGCCTGACCCTGACGGGTAGCCAAACCACTGTAGTGGCTGGCTGTCGTGAGGCGGAGCAGCCGGCTGGTCGAAAAACCAGAGCAGCCAACGGCGCCTAGTTTCAGGTGCATGATGGTTCGATCGTGGTCCGTACCTGATTTCTTCCAGGGAGGGCAGTCGAGGTGAGCCTGCTTGGACCTGAGCAGTTCGTCCATGCTGACGGAGAGGTTTCGCCGCCGCTTCGCCGCTGCACAAGCGCCGCAGAGAAGGCAGAGCACGAGCACGCGCACCAGCGACCGTTGCGAGGCCATTGCGTGCAGCAGCGATCGATAAATGCTACAGCCGGTTTCGGGGGCTCCGTGGAGCTGATGGAGCACTCGTGACCCGGTCACTAAATAGCCGCACCACGCACGCCTCGCAAGGCTAATACGAGTACTTTGGAGCGGCCAAGAACGAGCAGATCAGCTAATTTGGCGGAGGAAACTAAGAACACGACGATGCAATCGATGCAAGGTTGGTGTCCTTTTCTCGACTGGGCGGATTGGCGCATGATGGACGGGATTTATAATAATGCAAAATGTGCTCGCTCTATGCCAAAATAAACCGATTTCTATAATCATCCTAAATCAAATCAATCTAGGTTTTACTATGCCACACATTGTAGAATACTCAAGTTCTGAATGGCGGTGATTTAGGATTCAAAGCTGTATTGTCAATTACAAGGAAAAAGATGGGGCGTTCAGTACGTGGCTGAGCTCCCGAGGGGACAAGGTGGCAAGCGACAGCGAGGCAAGGCTAGTGGGGTGAGCACTGCGGCGTACTAGGCCGTAGCGTCGGTAGGCGGTGGCCACTTGCCCTGCCGGGGCTAGCCGCCCCAGTTGCAGAAATCAGGCAGCCCAGCCATAATAAGCCATAATAAGGCCAGTCTCAATTTCATAGACATTAAATAGATTGATGTGGCACCGTATTGATGAAGAGAGATATGATAATCGTTTCATGGGAGTAGAAAGAGTTTCATGGGGATGAAACTCTTCTGCACTATTTCCAAAATATAGATGCATTAGTAATAGGGCCATGAAATCCCCACTGAAAGTAGCCTGACAGGGAAGGTAGGTTACCTTTTTTTTTCCTCGAACATGGCTCAGGCACGGTTTTCATTAAACAGAAGAGGAGAATTTCGAAACACCATTACCAAAGCACTACAGCCCACGGGCAACAAGTGAAATTGATTTACATAGTACTCCAAGTGCAAATCTCTCAATCGTTGTACTTGTACAATAACCGTGAAGGCACTATTAAAACATATACTTACAAGTATTATTTTATTTATGATCACACTGCATCAAAAGTTAAGATGCAAATCATTTCTAAAAATTTATATAAAAATAACAAAATTCATGTGCACTAGATGACAAAATTAATGTGCATACACATTAGCTAACAATACTCCTATGGTTTTGTTTTCTGGTACATATGCACATAAAATTTGTTATTTTTCATATATTTTTCTATGATCTTTTTAGATCGAGTTTGTAGTACGATTGTTGATACAATAGACATCTATATATACACTATGAATGGGGATCATCCTCTATCTTGGGTGTGACCTGTGAGATGTGTGTCCAACTTTTAGTTGAACCTAAATTTTAGGACCGTTTAGAACATGGAAATTTCACAGTATAAGAATTTTAAAAAAAATCAGTTTAATTTAAAGAAAATGTGGGATTTAGCTGCTTTAGCACCTTTGTTCGATTTTGGCCACAACAACGAACTCAGGTGCCCAAGGTAAGTTCGAATCAGGGCTATCAAATTGGTTACCCTAATTTTGACATGACGAAATTTAGCCAAACGCATTTCTTCGCACGCAAAACACGTGAGGCCTCAGCTCAATTTTGAATCCAACCCTTTGCCTATCAATTGGGTGGACCTTCATAATAAAGGAGACTTGTCGGGTGGCCTCAGGCCTCAGCTAAAGACTGGGTAAACGGGTCTAAAAGAAATTTACTACTTTTCTGTTTAGAAAACCTTAATATTTAGGATTCAATTATTCAAATTTTCGACCAAAACCTAATCATTCTAGCACTTAGAAAATTTGCTACTTTTCTGTTTCAAAAAACATTGTGTTTACATTAACAAATACATGTTATACTTTCTTCTCTCAAGGTTTTTTTAGGGCTCATGCATCGGATAGCTATAAATGTACAACCTACTTCTTTTCTCTCTTCCACCTCCGCATAAAGTCTACTATCTCCATTTCCCAAAATTATCCTAAGTCAAATTATCTTAAATTTGACCAACTTTATAGAGAAAGGTAACAGCATCATGAAATTGAATAGATATACTATTAAAAATATGTTTTATGATGTATCTAGTGATACTAATTTGGTGTCATAAATATTGATACCGATGAGACATAAAATACCTTGATTTAGGACAACTCTATGGCCCTTTATGAAACACATGACTGGAAAAATGCATAAATAGGAAAAACACATGAACAAGAAACAATAAGGTTTGAGTTGATCTTTTTCCATGATTTTCCATTGAAACCGAATACTAAGGGAAAGTTTCCTATGTTTTTTCTGCAAACAATTTATGTGAACAAAAGATGCTACAGTAACTCAATTCATAGGAGCGAGGATCTTATGTTTTTTCTAGAGTACTCTTTTTTCTATAATCCAAAGAGTTGGATGGACCTAAGTTGATTAAATTTGAAATATTGGACTACAATCCATAGGCCCTATAAGTTGATTTAATTTGAAATGGAGGGAATACTTATAACCTTTCATGGCTAGTTTCCGTGAATGTTCCATGCGGGAACGCGGCTATCGTCCTTTTGCCCACGATAGCTGGTCCGTGAATGTTCCACGCCTGTTCGGTTGGCTGGTTCGTGAAAAAGTACTGCTGGCTGGTTTATGTGAGAGAAAAATACTGTTCTAGCTAAAAATTTACGATCGTTTACGACGAGCCACGACCAAACGAACAGGAGCGTTTGATCTGGCATCCACCACGAGCTTCATGCCGTGGGGCCCGCCTCACGTAGATGCACTGGACCGCCGGCAAAGTACATGGAAGCTACTGCCTGGGCGGTCCGGCCGTCCCCGTTCGGATTTTCTGCGGGCATCGCGTTGAACTTTACTCGGCCGATGGCTAATCATCGTCGCTAATACATTTGCGCATGAGATCACCTCTGAAAACCGTTTCAACTAGTACTACCATGCGCCATAAATTATTTTTGAAAAAAAAAGCTCACGACCCATAATAAAGTACTACTTCATCTTAAATTATAAGACGTTTGACTTTTTTAACTTCAAATTTGAACATTCGTCTTATTTAAAAAATTTATATAAATATAGTCAAATTTAAGTCATTCTTAAAGAATTTTTATTAATAAACCAAACCATAAAAAAAATTTTGATATTTTACATAAATTTTTGAATAAAACGAGGAGTCGAACTTGATGTTAAAATAATCAAACGTCTTATAATTTATGGATTGAGTAATATATACTGCTGCTACTGATGGGTGCTGCCAAACACCACCACTCCACCAGGATTGGTACGAGCTACTCCCGAATAAAATAAGCCTGGAGACGGCAAGGGAATCTGCTTTGCTGGTTCGATCCAATCTCCTCGCAACACCCCTCCAAGGCTCCAACGACGGACTCTCCAAAGAAAGCTTCAAAGCTCGATCCATTCCAGCTTTGATTTCCTGTCTACTCCCTTCAAAGCTCGATCCGTTCCCGCTTTAATTCCCTGTCTATTCCCTATCGGTGGCAGCTGGCAGGTGAAGACGACCAAGCATCGTGCCTCCTACCGCTCGCTAACGCTGTGGCGCTGTCTCTTCAGATTCGGAATCGGAATCGGAATCGCAAAAGCAAACAGCTGTCGCACGAGTGCGAATTCTGCCTCTGCGTGTCCATTGCTTACATCCATGAGTCGGCTCAGGTGTTTAGCTATGGATTATCATCCATTAACCGGCGAGGCGGCGACGACGAGAACTGGTACGGACTAATCGTCTGGCACGGTTCTTGCGTAGAGCAGAAACAAAGACGTATGGTATGAATCGTATATACGCACAGGAGGCGGGAGTAGATGCGCAGCGTACCTTGGCCGTCGTCTTCCTCGGGGGCCTCGAAGTCGAAGACCCACTGCGGCGAGGAGTCGGCCTGCCACCGCAGCAGCAGCAGGACGCCCGGGACGGTCAGCAGGCAGAGCAGCAGCCCGGCGCGCACGGACGCGCGCCAGAGCCTGCTGCCCCCGCGCCTCGCCTCCTTCAGCTGCTCCGCGGCGTGGTGGGCCGGCGGCGGCGACGGCGGCGGCCCCGGCGCCCGCTGCTGCGTCTCCAGCACGCCGCGGAGGGGCAGCCGCTCCTCGTCGCCCCTGTTGCTTGGCCTCCCCATCACCATGAGCTAAGCGACCGTCCCCGTACGCGTCTCATATAGGAGTATGCTCGCTGGCTCGCTCCGTCGGTCCTCGGTCTTGTGCTTTGCGCCTTTGCGCTCTCTCCTACACCCGTTCGCTTTCGTGAGTGATGAGATAGCTGATACGAACAGGCTTTGTCGGAGACGGAGTGGTCAAAGGAGTACAGCCGTCCACCGCGTGGGAGAAGTTTTGCAGGACTTCCATGGTTGGACATAAATGGCCCTCGACGGCCCAAGAGCCCAAGACGTGGGTTCATGTCGATTGCATGGTTCGGTGTGTGTGGCGTCATACGGTTTGATTGATGGTATGGAACACGGAACACAACTATCGAGTTCACGTGGCAAACTTGGAAAGACATCTTTATCTCACATGGTATATTCGAAGTTTTTTTTAGGAAGTATATTGGATTTTTTTTAATAAATGCAATATACATATTAGCGTAGTAAGTAAGAGCAACTCTGAAGAAGTACTCCCTCCTCGTCAAAATAATTTGCACTTGGATTTTGTTGGAAAGATTGATACTAGAAAACTCACATATGTATCCCTATCATCAAGAGTTGTTCAAAGTGTAATAATTATGGCCTCATTCGCTTCGCTGAAAAAACAAGCTGAAACACTGTTATGACTGATTTGTTGTGAGAGAAAAACACTGTGAACATGGCCTATATTTTGGAAATACAAAAGGTAGTAAATGCTACTAGAGCTAGGTAAGATTGATGTGTATTTACTTTGGATTAATTTTTAAGTCTCAGTAGGAGTTTCATAACATTGTTTTTTTTCAAACTGATAGATCATATATAATAAGATGAAATACGGATGGAATACTCGCTCTTAATATAAAGTTTTATTCTATGATTTCATAGACATTTAATTTCATGGCTCATAGGCATTTTAAATGATGTGTCACAGTGAGCTTCACTCTCGGTCGGGCTCGGTGGATATACTATGAGGGTGGCTGGACCACACGTTAGTCTCACATGCTAGATATACTTTATTCGCTCATGTAGATAATCAAATAGTATCTTAGTTTATTTACATCCGCATATGCAACCTCACTAAAACAATTTTTCTAAAGAAAAATGTCTATTTTTGGCCCTCCAACTATGGCTGCAGTCTGTTTCTAGCCCTCTAACTTGAAAACCAGACACGCGCGGTCTCTTAACTCTCTAAACCACTTAAAATTGGCCCTGGACTCGGCACGACGGCGGTTTCTGCCCAGTCAACCCACCACGACCGCTGTATCGGCCCATCTACCTGTCTCGCGGCCCAACTACTCCCGTACTCCTCTCTCGCGCTCTCATTCCTTCCCCAACCCCGAACCCTAACCCCCGACGGCGGCGACGGCGACGACCACGGCGACGACGACGGTGGAGGGTGCTGTTGCGGGTGCGGATCGACAGCATGGCGAGCTCGAGCAGCGCGAGTAGCTGGAGGGGAGGAGGAAGGTCCGACCGTGGTGGCTTTCGGTCGTCCCCCTTGCAGTGTCGCCGAGGCCCTCTTGATTATTGGCCGCCCGTGATTTGCGATTGCAGAGCGAAGGCGGCAAAGTGGACATCGTGGACCAATGATAATCCGGGCCGTAGGTTCTACAATTGCTTCGGATCTCAGGTGAGTTCGATCGATGACTTATTTAGGGTTTGGTTCTTTGTTGGATGTCATGATTGAAGTTGTGTTGGTTTTGGTTGTAATCACGGTTGCAGAGCAATATGCGGCCATGTCAATTTTTTCGCTGGATTGATCCACCAACCCTGGAGCACCTTGTACCCGTTCTTATTGAGCTCCATGACCAAGTACGAGCAATGAGGACGGCTAACAGACAGGGAAATGACCACATGGATCTGGCATTAGTTGATGCAGCATTCGTTGATGCAAAAGCATCAAGGCAGCAATAAAGAGTCATGGTGGAAACAGGATTTGCAGGCACAGATGATGTGGCAGCAACAGTGCAAACAGCTAGCACAAAAGATGTTCAGTTGAAATGCAGGATGGTAGAGAAAGAACTAGGTTTGTTGAAATTTGTATTGGCGGCCTGTATGATTCTAGTGCTTGCTGTAATTTTTAGGAAGTATATGTTTCTTGCTTTTTTAGTTGTGATTGAAGACAATGGTAGTAGTTGGATGCTTGTTAGTTTGTGGTGTAGAAGTATGGAAGATGTATTGAATTGAAGATGTATTTTGCTATCTTTGAATTGATTATGAATTCCAAGATAAGGCTTTCAGGTTTTGGTTGCTCATCATCTCCCTGCTACTAACATAAGGCATTTGCGTTGCTCATTATGAAACACAAGTATCATGCAAGAGTAGCTTGTATGCCTTTTGTAATAGGGCATTGCTCACACAGTCACATGTCTACTGTTGATCAGTTTTGTTTGCTATGTAGAACCAGCAAAGTTTTCTGGTGGTCATATTCCTGCAGGGTGCAGATTCCAAATACTTCATCAACGATAATATCTGTGGGCATTGTATTGATACATATTCTTGTATTGTTTGTTAATCCACAGTGATGGTGAAACATTCATATCATTAGATGATCTCCGAATAAATTTATGGAACTTGGAAATAAACAGCCAGAGCTTTAACATTGTTGATGTGAAGCCTACAAACATGGAAGAGCTTTAACACCAAGGAGTGATAGAAACGACTGAACATTACAACCTGGAAGTCTGGCATTACATTACAGGTGAAGAACATCACAAATGCCTTAAAAGTCTGGCATTGCATTATAAGTTCAACAACCTAAAAACCTTGAAAGTCTGGCAGTACAATGCAAGTTAACATCACAATATGGCAATACATGCTCTTAGGGATCAGCACGGTCTTTGAGAAGCAGCAGTTGGCTTGGTTGTGTGCGCTTCTTCACTGCTTGCTTCTTCCTTGGAGGTTCCTCGGTAGTGACTGTAACACATGCTTTTCCACCTTTAAAACTCAAGTTCACAGAAGAACTTGCCTGGGACAATGGAACATTGGCTTTGTAAATGCATGGTAGCTTGCCTAGGCTTTTGCACTCTAGCTATGGTAGTGCACTTGATCTTTTTCTGCATGTGAGTTAAAATATAAGAAATTGGAGGCAAAATTAAAAAAAGGAAACAACATACGAAGTAGCACATACAGTTACTTGGCTTCGCTGGGATGCTCTTCTTTTCTCTCTTCCTCTACTGCTTTCATTAGAGGTAGCAGTGGGTACAAAGCTACCATGTGTAGAAGCATCAGCTGATACATTACTTGGTTGTGGAGCAGCATGACCTGTGCCTCCTGGAGTTTAACTGCTAGATGGAACCCCATGTCTCTTGTCACAAGTGGACCTATTGTGGCCTATTCCCTTACATTTCCTGCATCTGCTGACTGTCCCTACCTTAGAAAGTCTCTTTGCCTTTGGTTGTTCTTGTGGCTCCCTCTTCCTTTCTTTTTTAGGTCTGCCTGGCATTCTCACATATCTAGGTGCCTTCAAGGGTGGGAGATCAGACTCTGGCCAATTGTGCATACCCTCCAATGGGTTCAGGTAGTGAGAGTAAGTATTGTTGAACTCAGTAATATGATAACAAGCTGCAATGTAATCATCTAGCACATTTGTGTTGTAAAAGATGCATGAAATAGCATGGCAACCCAGACAACTGCCAATACCTACAAGAACACTCTCTAGCATGTAGGTCAACTGTGAACCTATTGTCCCAATGATTGACTTCAAATCTGTCAGCTCCATTGCTAATAGCATGGTATACCCCTGAAAGGGTGATACCATTTAGCTTTTTAAGGATGTTGGGACACACTGTTCCTATCCATGTTTATGACTTGGACCTATTTTGTTGGATCCTCACCATCACCTTCCTTCTAATTGTCTTCAGCATAGTTACAATAGGAAAGAACCTAGCTTCAACAATCCATTTGTTAAATGTTTCACACATGTTGTTATCAACATAATCACAATTTGATCCTATCTTAAACCAGGCCCTGCTCCAATGAGCTAGATCAGTGTTCAAGGCTTGTGCACCACCTGGTGTATACTTTGCTAGCTTGGCCCTTGCAAGATTGAACAATGATGGACATGATGCCTTTGCACAATAATAGAATTTCTTTTGCCACTCCTTGTTCTTGAATTTCTTTCTCCAGTTGGCCTATATATGCCTGGCACAGTTTCTGTGTTTAGCACTGGGAGACCATAAAATGTCACAAAACCGGTCCCATGATTTATTGTTTTCCTTCTCTACTACTGCCCATGCTATGGGATACATCTGGCTGTTGACATCCCTTCCTATTGCACACAGAAGCTCCCCAGTTGTTGCACCCTTAAAGAAGCAGCCATCTAGACCTAACACTTTTCTACACCCTGCCATAAATCCTTTTTTACATGCATCCAAGCAAATATACATTCTCTGGAATACTGGTGGTTCCAACTGAAGCTCTTTTTTGACAATGACTGTGCTGCTAGGATTACTTCTCAACAATTCAAGTTGATATATGTACAGAAGTTGGTACTGGCCTTTGGTTGCATCTAGTGCTTTCTGCATGACAATTGCCTTTGCTCTTTTCAGTTTTGAGATGCTTACCATAGCAAACATCTTCTCTTGAATTGTGGTTCTCATTCTTTCCAAACTCCATGTTGGGTTGGCCATTATGAACTTCTCATACTTCTCTGCAATCCTACTAGCAGTTACTAACTTGTTGTCCCTCCTTGGGGGGCATGTGTGCAAATCATTTAAACTAGCAACCTGCCAGCTGTCTGTCCTTGAATTGGTTGACAACAAACATCTCCAAGTACATGTGGCCCAATCACATAGAGCTAACATCCTGTGTGACTCATTCCTCCTAAACCTGATCACCCTCCTCTCTAGCAAACTTTGCCTGATAACTGCATTCTTGAACTGCTTTTTCCCAGTGAACTTCATGCCAATCAGAAACCTAGGACTAGGTACATTCTTGCTGAACCTTGGGTAATAGTTGTGCTTCGTCTCTAAGTGCCCCTCACTTGCTTCCTCCTCTGACTCATT